AAAGCTGCTCAGTCCATGACAGCTGGTAAGCAAAGAACGGGGCTGGGGACAAGAAATACCATTCTGGGTCATGCCCTCAGTGACCAACTTCCTCCAACTAGTATCCACTTCCCAATAGCACCATCAGTTGCAAATCCCTCAATGGATTAATCCACTGATGAAGGTAAAGCTCTCATAATCCAGTTATTTCCCAAAGCCCCACCTGTGAACATTGCTGCATTGCAGACCAAGCCTTCAACACATGAGTCTCAGAAGGATGTTCCAGATCCAAACCACAACAGATTCATATCAATATATAAATCTGGTGTGTGTGTGTGTGTATATATATATATATAATGATAATCTAGTTATTTTCCAAGTTCCAATTGTGTATTAATGATATATAGGAAAGCAACTGACTTTTGTATCTTAACTTTGTATCCCATGAGTTTGCTATAATTGCTTATTTGTTTAATAAGGGTTTGGTAGGATTTTTTTGACATAGAGAATATTATCATCTACAAACAGTTTTATTCATTTTTTCTTTTTATTGCCTTATCCTATTGCACTGGGTAGGATTTTCAATACAGTGTTGAATATATCAGTGTACCTTTAATATTTATTATTCTTTTTGAGTTCTATTATCCTCTTTAATAAAATATTTTCTTGAGTAATTTTGAGTTATTGTCTTTTGATCTTTCATATTTTCTATCATTTAAAATTTTTGAAAATTTTATAGGAATATTGTATTATAGTTTTCATCTTTTTTTCTGCTTCATCGTTCTCTCCACCTTTGTTTAACTATAGCAACTTTGAATAGAATTCAATCAGAATCCTTTTCTGTGGCTTATTTTTAACTAAATGTTATTTTGTAATTTTAAGAAGGAAAGGTGTATAGAATAGTTTTATAGCTTTATGATTCTACAGATTCTTTTAAAATATTATTTTAGTTGTAGATGGACACAATATCTTTATTTATTTATTTTTATGTGGTGCTAAGGATCGAACCCAGTGCCTCACCAATGCAAGGCAAACGCTCTACCACTGGGCCACAGCCGCAGCCCCTACAGATTCTTTTTCTGGTATTTTATGAAATATGTTTACCTCAATTTTTTGAACCCTTTCTCCTGTCTGACTTTTGGGTGGGCCCACATTATTCCTTTGCCCTCTGTTGTCCTCATCCTATTCAGTTAGGATTTTACTTCTAGCAGTTTCTCCTTGGTGTTGGACTTTGTCCAAGAATGTAGTTCTTATTTGCTGGTTTTGAGAGTTTCTAGACTTTACATTATTGTGGTAACTTTAGAATTTCCTGCTCATTCCTTTACAATTGACCTAAACTTTTTGTTCATCAGACTCCCTGCCCATTTTGCAGCTGATCCCATATTGGTTTCCCTTGCTTTTTAGCAAATATTTGGCAGTTTGGGGCTTTCCCATTCTCAAAGCTTTCAGATTCTTTGCTGTGTTCCCCTATTTCCTTCTACACAGAAGGTGATATTTTGAAGTTTATTAAGAATGCTTTTTTTAACCTAGTTATAACTATTGTCTAATAATGTTTTGTTATTTATTTATTTAGTTTTAGTTATTCTAGATGCTTTACTTGCTTTTATGAGGATATTCAGGAAGTTCTCATATTACACTGTCTCCCTACTCATCTTCCTACTCTTCAGTATTTATGTACTACTTGGGAGGATGAGGTACTTTAAAATACATTTCAAACTTGATTTTTGAAGTTAATCAAAATGAAGATAGAAGGAAGTTAACATAAGAAGCTGATAGTTCCTTATGGATGCTTTTTAAGTCATGTTTAAAATTGGTTCCTTTTTGGTTTTCTTCATGTGAAATTAAGTACTTGCAAGTGTCATTCTGTCCCTCCACTTCCACATTCTCAACCAGCTGAAGAGTACTCTCAGACTTAAAAATCAGAAGTAGGTTTACAATAATGGAATTTGGAATGATTGCTCAATGTGGCCAAACATAATGGAGGAGCTCATAATTGTATTTACTACCATATTATCATGTGCTAAAATTCTGATTTTAGCCCCTTCTTATTCTACAATTTGCAGTCCGATTTAATACATTGGCTGTCCATTGTCTAAATGGGATCCACAGATATGATTTCTTTAGACTATTCTGTATTTATTTATTGATTTGTAGTTAACTCGGCAGATACTTTATTTTTTTATAGTTTTACATAAATTTTATTGTATACATTTAAAGTATACAACATGGCGATATGGGATACATATAGACAGTTAAAAACATTCCCAGTTAGGCAAATTAACATACCCATCATCTCCCGTAGTTACCCATTTTTATTTTTGTGTCTGTGGCAAAATCAGCCTAAAATCCACTTATTCGGTATAATTCCCATATGCAGAATAATTTTATGACCCAGTATTCATTGTAAATCAGCTCTCTAGACCTAGTCACCCTATATCTGTTATTTTGTGTTCTGACCTATTGTCTTCCCATTTTTCCTCCCCCAACCTCCCAATCACTCCTGTTAACCATTGCTTTAATCCATGTATTTGAATTTTAAAAAACTTATAAGAGAAATAGTACAATATTTTTGCAGCTGGCTTATTAGGATCATGTCATCCAGGCTCATCTATGTTGTTGCAAATGACAAGATCTCATAATTTTTTAGGGCTGAATAATACTCCATTGTATATATTTAGCAGTTTCTTTATCCATTCATCAATTGACACTTAAGTTGTTTCCATATCTTGGCTATTGTGCATAATGCTGCAATAAACATGGAAGTATTGATATCTGCATGAGGCAGTGATTTCATTTCCTCTGGATATCCATACAGAAAAGGGATTTCTGGATTGTGTGGAAGTTCTACTTTTAATTTCTTTAGAAAACTCCTGATCATTTTCTATAATAGTTGATCAGTATTTTAAAAACATACAAAATAGTTGCCAAAGCTTACAACCAAGTTTCACATACAAATGCAGATATCTGATTGATCTTAAAAAACCTGAAGCCCAGTGTCATAATGCCCACATTACGAAATGGAATTTGTATCCTGATTAAAGAGGCAATGCACTCTCAGGCTTGTGACACCTTTCATTTGTTACCTTCCAGTCCTGATAGACTTGGTAAATCATGGACAACTTCTTATATTGGCTTAAACTATAAACATGTACTGTTGATTTTTAAATGTTTCTATTTAGATGTCCTACAGACTCACCAGAATCCACATATTCAAAACCAGCCTATTTTTTCTAAAACCTAATTTTCTTCCAGTGTTCCCTTAATGACCCAGTTAATGGAATTACATTTCTACAGCTGTCCAAATTAGAAAAATCCTTAGGGTTATTTTTCTTCTTTCTTCTTCCCTCTATGCACAGCTTTTAGGCATGTGTAAAACTGTGACCCACTTAAGTCTTTCTTTTACTGGTGTCTGTATATTAAATTCCTTTTTCTTCCTGATGTCTGGAAAACTCCTACTTACTTTACAAGATGGAGCAAAATCACTCAATCTTTGAAACTATGTTCTTTGTCTCAATAAACATTTAGTTGCTCTTTTCCATCTACAGATATCTCTAATACATTGCATATTTTACGTTGTTTATTTACTTCTGGCTCTTCTACTAGACTAGGAATTACTTAAGGACATAATGATTTAGCTATTTTTGTACCACCAGAACTAAGAAAAAAGCATGGAACTAGACAAATACATCAAATAAACATGAATTTTACAAATCAATGAGAATTGTTTCATGTCCAACGATTTCACCTTAAACTTTTTATATGATTCAATCTTTGGTTAAATTCAATTTTGTTTTCTTTTTTGCCCATACTTTTTTGGCACTTACTTTGGATTATTCTAGGGCCTGTAAATTTGTACCATAAGACTACAAATTAAATGGTCAAGTAAAAATTAATTGACTCCATTATTAAAACATGAGGACTTTTTAATGACTTACAAAACTTTGTTTTAATTATCTAAGGATGCCAGGTATTACCTTTAAAAAAATGTGTAATTATTTATAAAACAGATCCCAGAGAGGCAACTGAACAGCTGTTGAAAGATCTGGCACATCACTGTGCCAGCCTGAATTTAATGACCTACATGTGAAGGGCTACATATCCAATTACTAATCCTCCCTCAGCTACTCTTTGCCCCGATATGGAGGCAGCTGAAAAAAGATGCCCTACTAACAGATCAGAAAATGAATCCAGATTTCATTGCCAATGTTCAGTTACAGAGATCTTTTAGATTTCAGATGAGGAAGAAACTGAGAGGGACTCACAATTGTATTACAGCTCACATAGTTTTTCAAATAAATTTGAGAATTTAAAGCAAGAGTGACTTCAGTTTTGTGACTAAATTCAGAGACACTGAAATTATTTTAGAGAACCTAAAATTCTGAATTTAACTTTCTATTCACTCAAGCCTTAAACACGTTCAAATGTCTTCAAACATCAAGGGAAAAATACTTCAGAGTTCCTTCTATATTAAGAAGGCCAATTTATATTCCAAGATTCAAACCTCATTTTTAATCTTCAAATTTTACAATAATCACCTATTAGAAGTAGGGTCAAATAAAAAAAAATAGAAAACGACAATCCACAGGATTGAGTTTTGCTTCTCCCTCAGTTGACTTGGTCTATATATAGCAAAAAGATTATATAAGGTCAAGTAGTACAAACAATGAAACATCACCTGATGTTTTGCAAAATAGCACAGGAAAAATAGGTCAAAGAATGAATGGAGAGTAAAGCGTCTGGTTTTTTTTTTTTCCCTTAAGCCATAAAAAAGGCTTAGAAATTCCAAATTTAAATGCATTTTTATTATGAATTTGACTCATTTCTTGAACTCTAATTTTCCACTTGAGTCATGTAAAATCATGCCACCCTGTTAACATTTTTCTGTATAAAACAGACATAACTTAGGCAACAGATGCTTTCCTCTACTCTTCAACACAAAACTAAGAATCCTTCGTCCGTACCGCATTTTTAATTTTTAAGAATGGGACTATCTTAAGCTCTCTACGCCGCCGAACACAAACAAAAATATGAATGAATAAATGCCCTTAAGTACACCTTTACTTCTTTAAGGGGAAAAACTGACGTCACCGTAACTACCTCCCACTCCCCAAATTCTAACTCCAAACCCCGACCGAATAAACCCCTCCTCCCGCCGCCAGCTGAGGCGGAAGTTAGCGCAGTTAAATGACGTATGACGTAATCGCCGTAGCCACCACCTGGTAACTCTCGCCTCTGCCTCTGGGAGTTGAAGTTTCCAAGGAGGACTCGCCCGCGGTATTGAGAGCACACAAGAGAGGCTTTCTGAACGAACTACTACGTTCCCCATCAACTCAGTTTGGTAAATCTCCTGGCACTGCGGCTGGCGCTCGCTTTCCCTTAGGTATCGTTCGGATACAAAAGGGAAGCATGCCATGCCACCCTCGAGTGGCAACAAGGGCTTCCGGGGTATGACGGAACGGGCCTGTGCGAGTGGCCATAGCCATCCTGTTCCTGAAGGAAATTACGTTGGCTAGGGCGCGCCCTCGCGGCCTCCGCAGCTCTCTGATTCGCCGGCTGCATTTTAGTCCCGCCTCTCTGCTGCTAGCGCGGCGAACGGTGTAGATAGGGAGGGTGGACTGGGCTCTGCTGGCCTGCATTGGGGCGCTTTCCTTTCAAGTTATTTATGGGTGTGCGCCCGGTCCCTAGGATGCAAAGAGTGTGGTCTTACAAAAGATGATAGGAGAGAGAATATGGGACTCCGAAGGGCCGAAAAACGAGTTGTGGCAGTGCCACCTGTGGCTAGAGACCATGGGCGAGACGCTTAGTACCTCTTTACGCGTCCCTTTCTCTGGAGCTGACGTTGCTGAGCCCTCTGAAATTCAGGGAGCTCCAGGGGAAGTTGTTGATGCTGCTAAGCCCCATGGTGGTGAGCTGGGGACTATTAAATTGGCTTGATTTCACTGAAGCACGTTAAGAGTTTAAAATTTGGGAATTTTTCCAGAGAAATGTGGAGGGGATAGTGGCAGGTTACCTTCTCACCTATTAAAAACATTTCTTCTGAGGGAGATCTTTGGCCCTAGGGACTTGACATAGAAACAAAAGGCTTTTGCTACCACCGATTTGGTCAACATGTTTAAAGAAAGGTCTTTTACTGTTACGGTCAGGTCCTTAATTCCGTTGTGCAATTATTCCAGTATTAGATCTTTCTTGAAGGGAGCTGTATTGTAAATTACGAAGACTTTTTAGTTGTTTGATAACACGGAATTTTTAAGATTTTCCTTTTGGCTTTAATTGATTTGTGAGGTGTATTCTCCCTGCTTTAACGGGGTGAGGAAATGTAAATATTGAGATGCCTTTTCACCTATTCCACCAAATACCTTTTATCTACTTTTATCTAGTTCTTTCTCTTTTAAGCCCACCCGATAACCTGGATCTGTGAATTACCCACATTATTTTACGCTAAAATAAATTTCACACAAATATTTCTATAATTAAAATACCGTTCTTAAATATTTGTTGGACTTGGTTTAACGACTGAAAATATACTGTGAATATAACTGCGTGTCACAGAGGAACACAAAATTCTGCCATAGAAAATTTACAAATTATGACCCAAACCAAAACAATTAGGAAACGAGTAATTGTGCTATTTTTTCACAACAGGTAATCTGAACAAGCTAGTATGTAATGAAGTGATGGTCAGAGTTGGTTTATCTTTGTAAAGTCTACACAATAATTTTAATCAAGCTAGTATTTTTTTTTTTTTTTTTTTGCATTCCACTTATGTCTCAGTGTATCTATGTTTGAGGTTCAGAAAATTCACCTACTATAGTGCATTTTCTTAACGGAGAATAACTAAAGAAAGTGAATGATTATGATGACTAACTACTTCATGACCTTTTCTTGTTTTTGATAGGCTGTTTAAAAACATGACTATGCTGTGATAGGTCATGTTAAATTTAACGAGACTTATTAAATAGGAAAGGCAAAAGCTCCCTCTGGTGTACATGATTGTAAAACACTGCGTTAGGTTGCTTTTAACATTCCCACATTATAGAGCTCATCAACCCTTGAGTTTTTGAACAAAATAAAGAATTAGCCAATAGATGGAAAGTACTATAGAAATGTGCTCTTTTGGAATATTATTATTTTATGAAGAGCAATTTATTTCCTGTTATTTTAATTGTGCTTTTAAGTTTGCATGTTTAGTTTAACAGACCATGTTTTTCCACTCTTGCTTTGGGTAATATGCACTGCTGAATTTTATGTAATTCAGAGCATATGAAAAGAAGGTAAAATAAAAGTTGTCTTGGGAAATCACCCTCTATCTATCTATCTTTATGTATATTTAAAGTTTTCTTCTTTCTAATCTTTTTAGGTTCACTGAGTTTCTCCTGCCACCAGTTTCTTAAATTGAATACTAACATTATTTAACTTTTTTTAAAAAATTAGTGGCATGGAAATGAAACTAGAGATTTTTTTCATCATATGTGACACAGGTCTCAAAAGTCTTCTATTGTCAGAATTAACACAGCACAGTTCTTTTATGTTCTTTGGAACCCCTCATTTGTAAATACGGTTTTGCATTACTGGGAGGTTACAGTAGAGTTAGGTTGGGTTTGAATCCAAACTCTAGCCCTTCATTTGTCTAATTATTCATCCAAGTATTGTGAGTATATACTTTGTGCTAGATTTGCTTGCAGTACCTTGTTTCTTAGGAATTATAGTAGCTTCGTAATTCTGGGCACGTTATTGAGCCTCACTGTGCATTCTTTTTAAAGTAAGGATAAATAATACAGTCAACCTCATAGAGTTGTTTTAAGGAATGAATTAGATAACAATACCTTACTATTACTATTTTCATTGCTTTTCTTTAAAAAAAAAAAAAAATATATATATATATTCACTCATTTATTTACTCCACCATTATATAATAAGCATCAACTAAATACCAGCCACTATGTTACTGACATATTACAATGTTGCACATTGCTGTTGGGTTTTTTTTTTTGGTACCAGGATTGAACCCAGGGGTGCTCAATCACTGATCACTGAGCCACTTCACCAGTGCTTTTTTAATATTTCATTTAGAGACAGGGTCTTGCTCAGTTGTTTAGGGCCTCACTAAGTTTCTGAGGCTGGCTTTGAACTTAAACTTCTCCTGACTCAGCCTCCTGAGCTACTAAGATTATAGGCATATGCCTCCATACCCATCCAGTGTTGCACTTTTTAAAGAAAGCTAAAACCACATAATAAAACTGCTGCCTAAATTATGCTCTGCAAATATTTCATCCTTTAATTATCTAAATTGTGGGATTTTTTTTTCTTTTAGTTAGTAGCTTCTCCATATAGACTTATTAGCAAGCTTTGTAAGAAGGAAGAATCATTTCCTTAATGATACATTTACCTTAATTCCAATAGAAATTTAGTAGTATCATGCTCATTCATTGGTATGGATAAATAATAATTACAGTTTTAAGCTTCAGTGTTACTAATCTATTAAATAGAAAAGAAATATCAGTATTCTAGCCTTTCCTTAATCTGAAAGCAAGTTCAATTTTAGTTAATAGGTATAGTTAATAGGTAAAGATGTATTTGGCATCATCCTAAAGCATTCCACAAAGCCATACTGATTACAGAGTCAACTTTCATGTTTTGTTTTTTAGTCAAGACTAAAGTGGAGGATTTACATATTTACAATGAAATATAGTGAAGGGGGCAATGTTGTCTGTACTGTCCAAAATTTATAAATCTTATAACAACTTCTGTCTAAAACTTAGTGTGAGTATACAACCAGATAAAGAAATACCATTCTGTTTCCCTCATTCTGCAGCATTGAGGATTACAGGATGATGTTTTTTCCAACTCTTTTTAAAAATAATATTTTTCTTTTATAAAAACAATGTATTTTCATTATAGAAAACCATGAGTAAGAATTAAACGTGTATGTGCATGCTTTTAAAAATGATTGGATGTGATGGATATATTGGTTTTTGTTTTGTTTTCTTATTTAAAATATTATAACCATTTTCCCTTATCAATAAGTAATTTTGGAAATGTGATTATTACTGTTTAGTAATCCTAGTCTGTGTTATAGATGAGTGATAATTTGTTTATTCTCCTTTTGCAGGCATTCAAGTGTTTTCTAACTTTTCATTATTAAAATAACACAGCAGTATGTACACTCTGGTGAATCTTTGCATGTACACTTCTGATTCATTTACAGGAACTTATCCTAAGAAAATTAATTACTTGATTGAAGTAATTGAAGGGTCTCAATTTGTTAAAGATCTTGTATTACCTTCTGGAAAAATCGTGTGATAACTACCAATATCATATTAAAATACCCCATTTCTTTAGACCTTTACCAGCATTTCCAATGAATGATATTTAATTGGTATTAAATGACAGTTAAATGATTTTTGCAAATAAATGACATTTAATTATCTAAATTTACATTTGTATTTTTACTGATATAGTTTAACAATTATCACCAATAATTTTAATTTTAATCACATCTATTAGTTATTACTTCATGTGTTTGTAAATTATCTGTTCATGTAAAAATTGCTTTTCAATTTTTCAGAAACACCAACATAATGTCATCTGAAACGTCATCAGCATTTATTGAGACTTCTAATGTTGAAAGGAAGCAAGACTTAACTGAAGATCAGGAAAAAGAGAAACCAAGACTAGATGAAGGGATTGAACCAGTATCTAAACGACAAATGAAGAAGCTAATAAAACAGAAACAATGGGAAGAACAACGAGAACTTCGCAAGTACGTGTTTCAAATTATGTATGCTCTACCTTATTCAGAAATATGGAATATTAGACCTTAATATATTAAAACTAATTGTGTTAATCAAAATTGAGGTTCTGCATATTTTTTGTTAAAGACTTGTCAATTGACTTAAAAATTATATGTGTCTTGAATTAAATTATATTTTTTGGCACTATTGATGAACTTGCACTCTACACTTTTCTCGTCCAGAATCTTTTATGAGTAGCAGTATAGTTTCTGAAACAACTAATATAGATAAGGAATATAGTTAGTATCCGTGTCCTAGATATGGAATAAAAATAATCCAATTCCAAGTGATCAAATTTTGTCCCAATATTTATGTTGCTAGAATAAGTTTTTATGAAAGCATTTAGGCTACAGGTATTGCGTAATACCAACATATGTAAGATAAAATAAACTATAGTTAATATGGAGGAAAAATTGAGTTTTTTTTTAAAAGGAACCATTTTCTTTTTTTCTGTACTTTTTGATTGTTACTTGAAAATCATGTAGGTAAAATATAGTAAACCATGTAGTAAAATCCATCATAACTCATATTTATTATTTTAAAAATCTTCTTAAGGATAATGTGATGCTAATAATAAATGAAACTGTTGAGAAGTAAGTATAGTTAGGATTAGATTAAAAGCTTTAAATTATGCAACCATTTCCTTCCTATATTTCCTTCCTATAAATCATTACATGGACTACATAAAGTTGCTCATACTTGACCATTTTTGACCTGTGAAAGTGGTAAATTTCATATGATTTAACTTTAAAAAAATTTGTCTTTAAGAACAGTCTTGTGAATATTTAAATATATAAATAACAAAGTTGTTTCAATTACTAATTTTAGACAAAAGCGGAAAGAAAAACGCAAGAGAAAGAAATTAGAGCGACAGTGTCAGCTGGAATCAAACTCAGATGGAAATGACAGAAAACGTGTTCGAAGACATGTTGTTCACAGTACACTCCGCCTTATCATTGACTGTAGTTTTGATGATTTGATGGTATTAAAGGTATCATGAATCATTGTCAGAAAAATCCTGTAGATGACCTAGGTTGAATCTCCTTATTTAAATGCATAATATTTCTGATATAAATGTATGTGTAAAGTACATCTTAAGTCAAATTTTCAAAATCTTTTCCTTTTCACTTAAGTTAATAAATTGCTTTGATATATGTGTTCCTATTTATGTGCATGTTTTTTGTGTATGTATAGATCGAGAGAGACACACATTTCATAATTATGTAAGAGTCAGTATTTGTATACATAATTATATAAGAGTCAGTAAAGATTTGTGGGCTTTTACCAATGCCATTGGTAAAGCATGAAAATAGTAATTCCATGGCTCTTAAAAGAGTTTTTTATTGTTTATGAAGAAAAGTAGATGTTTTTCATGAGCTAGCATCTTATATGGATACAAAATAAATATAATGTGTCACTTATAGATTATTTACTTATAATAATTTTGTTAGTATGTAAGAAAATCAGTGAAAATTGTCAAAATTGATTTGTATTTAAGGACAAAAAAATCCCTTCTATTTATTCTATTTCTTTAGCATCATGGAATAGCTATAGATGATTTTGATAACTATTTTTTAAAATTTTTTTCTTTTCTAGGACATTAAGAAACTTCATAAGCAGATCCAACGATGCTATGCAGAAAACCGACGAGCACTGCATCCTGTGCAGGTATGTCTGAAGAATTTTTAAAAAGACCAGTTTTCTTTTCAGTTCTTCATGACAAAAACATAGATAATTCCAGTTGCCTTTGCAAGTCTTATGGGTAATCTTGTTTAATGCTTTTTTGAAAAATATTTTCTTTCTGTAAAAAAATAAAATACTTTAAACATCTTTTCTTATGAATCATTCTCAGACACACTTTTTAGTCATTAGTCTTGTACATGTTGACCTGTTCATTGCTGTGTAATTGAGTATCTTCATTATTGGACATGCCCTTATTTTTATACCATTTTCTCAGCTTTCAATTTCTAGAAATTCTGGGAGGCAAAAAGGGGCTTGAGGGAGAGATTGCCCTTACCCAGTGTGAGCTGTGGTACCCATTTTAGATTTTGTCTACTTAAAGAACTTTCTTTTCCTTTTGAGATGCTCATAATTTTAAAAAGTATTTAAGCTGGAGTGAGGGAATGATTTATACAACTAGTTTGTTGATGACAAGAACAGAATCCTTTTGTTTGAATTCTAGATAACCTAAATATTAACCCTGACTCACTAATGTTAAGAAGCAGGAACTTTTAATACATTTTTTATTGATATTTTATCCTTTTAACAAGTGAGTAGTTTATATTTTTGCATTTTTATTTTTCATAATTTTTATTACACTTCTGTGATAGTTTTTATATTCTCATTTTTGTCCATAATAGACACCTTATTACCCTTGATTCAGATTGACAATAGGTGTAGGGTTTAGAACCAAAGAAAATCGTAAAGATTTTGGATTGATTTAAAGGAAAAAAAATAAAAAAACAACAATGGTGGCCAAAAAAAGGAGGGGATGGTGAGAATGACATAGAAGAAGGAAGTTTGCAGACATGATTGTTACTGGAGATGCAGGTTATAACTAATTAAAAAAGAAGTGCGATAAAAATGTAAGTTGAATGCTGAAGTTGTTGGGTTAGAAGATACACCCACAAAACACGTAATTTCTACCATGAATTTCTTGTATGCTCAAAGTTTGTCACGAATTATTTTTTTCTGCGTCAATGAGAATATATCTTGTGTTTCATTAGTGAGCAGATGAACATAAGAGGGAAATAAAATATTGGACTTAAATTATCATTTTTTTCTCTTTCCCTGCCTACCAATCCCTTATCAGTTTTACTTGACAAGCCATGGAGGCCAACTAAAAAAGAACATGGATGAAAATGACAAAGGATGGGTCAACTGGAAGGTAATTAAAGCAGATCAACTCTCCCACAATTACAAGTGTTCTTATTCTTCTAAAGTTCTACATTTTTTTGTCTAAAATTTAAATAATATTATATATATATAATATTATAT